GTAATTGTGGGCTGCTACTGAAAGGGACAGTCCCATTCCTCCTGCTGCCTGCCCTGGTCGCCCCTGTGAGCCGAGGCAGGGAGCTAAACATGTATGATTCGTTTTCTCTTGGTTCAGCTCTCTGAATTGGGTCACCATGGGGTGAAATGAACACCAGTGCTAAAAACCACAACCAGGGCTGGAAGGGACAGTGGAATAGGGAGAGGAGGGACCATCTGTTTTAGCAGCACTTCACAATTAACCTGAGTTTCATTGTTAAACTTCATTTTCAGCCCCAAACTCCTCACCCTGCCTTTCCTGTTGTTCATCTTTCCTCCTTAGCCCCTCTTCCTACTGGCCTCCCATTTGCCCCTGCCCTTTCTGCTCCCATCCCAGAGTTGCCCATCAGCTAATGCCAGCTGTCTTGCCCAGCTCCTTTTTCTGCCTCAGTCCTTGTGCTTCACCGGTCTCCCGCAGACAGACCTTGTCTGTAACAGTGCCTGCGGTCCCTCACTCAATTGCTGTTTACAAAGTATTAGCTTGAAACGGGACAAAAATGCTTCAGCAAGTAAGACAGATAGCTTGTATTCATAAACTCTTCTCAAATCAGCTTTAATTAAGAAGAGCTTTCACTTGTCCATGAAAAAATTCTGAAACTTAGCTCTGACTGCCTGTGTTATGAAATGGATAAAACCCCTAGGAGTTATGAAGTAAAATTCCTACACATTGAGCTTTCCTCACTTTGAGCCCTTTGTATTGAAAACAAGCAATGAAATAGTTTTAAACAAGAGTTAGAAGCTCTTTTTCCTACTGTAAACAAATGCTGAATATCTGGGCAAAAGTCTCCTCTGCGTAATGCAAGTCAACTCCCATTGACTTAACAGGAGTTGTCGTGCTATATATGAGCGCGGGATCTTGTCTCTGTGAATAAAGGAGTTTTTTCAAGAGTGAGGGGGCTCTTCACAATGAATGCATTTTTACCAGGCCTTTCTGATTCATTGGCAAACTACCAAACACAAGGACTGTTTCTGTAGTCTTTTTACTCTCACAATGACAGACATTTTCTTTTTCATTTTTAGTGGGAAGTCTTTTGTATTTTTTTTTTCTCATGAAAATGTGTGTCCTAGGTTTCTTGGTATTTTGTACAATGAAGTAGAAAGTATTTCTCAGTCATAATATTTTTGAAGTTGATCCCTCCTGGCTTTATCATGTATCTTCTAATCCTGGTTTAAAACTCAGAGCTGAGGATGAAGGTGCAGATTTGGGTCTAACTTAGGCATACATCGCTTGCAATTCAAAAGCTGCTTTGGAGCTAGACTGGGCAGACGCCTGTGGAAGTTAAGCAGCCCCAGGGAGGTTTCCAGGTGGTGCCAAAATTGTGTCTTGCTGTGGTCCACCCTAGACCCAAACTAGAAAAGAAAGGGGTGGCTTTCTAATCTCCAGGAATCCTCCAGCAGGCCAAAGTGAAATTCCCTTTAGCAACACAAAAGAAATTTAGCTCATGCTAAAGAACTGTACTCTGTAGAGTTTCTGTAAACTACAGCAGTCTTGCCTCCTACTATATTTTTTTTTTCCTGGAGTTCTGTGTGACAGTTCTTTTTTAAAAGGACTTAGCAGGTATCTTTATACAATTAATGTTTTAAAAGTTTGGAATTTTTTGTCGTATGGTTTACATTTTGTATCATCGTCACACATTATTTTCTTGACAGTGAGTCAAGGTGGTTTTCTTCCTGCTGTGCTTTGGAAAACACATATTACCAATTACACCATTACAAAGATCAGCTGTGCAGATAAAACTGCCTTTCCAGCGAAACAGGAGATTGTAAACTGAGGCCCATTCCTAGTGCTGAACAGTCTGTGAGGCGATGAGCCTAAACCTGACGATATCAGACATCCATATTCACAAAAACCAGCGTCACTCGTTCATTTCCCTCTGTGGAACCAACTCAAATACTTCAGTAACCTGCTGACCAAACATGGGCAAAATCCCTGTGGACAGCAGAGACAACTGGTCTTGCTTTCTGGACGGTGTCTGCAGGTAGAGGATACTGCTTCTGACCTAGAACGTCGCATTGCAATGTTATTTGATGGTAAGCAAAGTCTTGCTGCCTATCTGCACACAACTGGATTCCTTCCAAAGCTGAATTAAAACCTCTCTTTAAACAGTGTATCTAATCTCATGCTGAAAACCCAAGCAAAGGTGTACCCGCTATCTCTCCTGATATAAACTGTTTAAATATTTAATTGCCCTCACAGTCAGGAAATGTCAGCCTTAAGTTTGTTTAGCTACAGTTTCCAGAATATGGATACCATTGCCTGTGTCAGCGAGGTTGACATGGTCATACTATCAAGATCTCTTTTCTATATTTAAGTACCTTTGCAAAGTAACCCAGTCTCTTGTCAGTTTTTTTCTTTCAGAAGCTGAATAAGCTGAAATGTGGAAGCTTTGTGTTGTAAGTTAGCTTGTTTTCTGCTCCCTGGATCATTTTTCAGTGCTCTTTGAACTATCACTAATATTTCTATTTTCCTGCTAGTGTAAATATCAGAAGTGGTGCGGGCTTCTTTGTAGCATTTCTTCACCAGTATGTGCACAGAGATCTTCTTTCTAGGAAACAAATTTTTACACACACTAAATTGCATTAGTTCTTTTTGCCACAGCATTGCCTGTGCTTTGCAGAACAAATGAACACACCGATCTTTCTATCCTTTCTAAACATTATCACCAAAGACTTTCTGCAACCACTGAGACTGCTCACACAAAATCCCTTCAGCCTAGGAATCGGCATCCTGAAGGACGCCACTAGAAACACATCAGCTCATTGATATCTTGCCACTGACGATTTCATTTTGAAATGTCAGTGAGCCAGTTTTCAGTCCAGTTATTTCTATGTGAATCAGGTGTTCTGAATCAAAATGTCTTGCGGCACTAAATCAATAGCTTGGAGAAATCCAAGTTTACAATGCAAGTGCAATTAGTTTTATCAGCTGAACATTTAATTATTTTAAAAAATAAGATATTTGTTCCTGCTCCTCAGGGCCCTGAGTGCGCTATAGGCCTTCACTGCCCTGACCAGTCCGGCTGACCCCGCGGGCCCCGAGCCCCGCCCCGCCCGACCCGGGGCGCCAGGCCCGGGCTGCCATGTCCTGCCCGGCTGCGCCCACCCCGTGGGGTCCCCCAGCCTGCACCGCGCCCCGGTGCTGTGGGGACGTGGGCTGCCAGTGCCACGCAGGCAGCTGAGCCTACAGCGGATCACGCTGCACCACGCGCTGCTTTCTGCTAGCAAAGGCTGGAACATGGCTGGACCTCGCCGTCATGTTACCTGGGATCAGCAGCTAGCTGATGGGTTTGTACGCCCATCTTTAGCCTCTGGAAAATCTTTACTATCTCAGGAACAATTTGCTTTTCAGTTGGGAGGAGGATCCACCACTCCACCCAAGGCGGGCTGGGCTGCATGAGACCACTCATTTTGAAAATGGGTCTAATAGTTGTTATTGTCGAACTGAGCCTCCAAACTCGCTGGAGCAGAGCTCAGAAAGATTCATTCCTGTGTTTTATGATCAGCAGACTGGAGAGTTTCAGTGGTTGCTGGATAACATTCGTTTCTCTCATACTTTGGTTAGCATTTTCTTTAATGCTTTTAAAATATCAATATATTTAAATGTTGAAATTTCGTTGTGTAGTGTCGGGCATGGTTGTTCCTTGGAGGCAATCTGATTTTCGTCTCTGTTAACTCCCCCAGTCTTTGCACCTAGTAAACTTCAGTGTTACTGAGTCAATACGGTGCCCCATCCCAAAAGATGGCTACAGGCACATTTTGCTGACACGTTATTCCTCAAGAGTGCAGGATACCTATTTGAATAAACCAGGAAAAATAATTTAGCAAAGCACTTGTTAGAATGGAACGACATTCAGTCTTTTGCTTGGTGACATTTAGAAAAAAAAAGAAAAATGGAGATGGCTTATTTTTGGTCTGAAATGGAATATATTAGCTGATCAGTGTGACACAGAGTGAGTGATGTGTTATTTTCTGCTGTTGTTTTAGAGCAAATAGAATGATTTAGATGTAGTACTGTAACAGAAGGAAAGAGACTGCTGGAATCAGACATTCAGGAGGCAAATAGGTTTATTCTGTTCTATGCTTCACATTTACTGCTTTCCGGCATTAATAATACTGCAGCCATCATAAAGATGTAAACTAACCATGCTGATAAATACTTCATTCCTCTTGTTTAAGACATCTCTTATATTGTTGCTCTTACATTCCTAAGATGTAGTCTGAGCTTTTTCACTCGGGTTTGATCTCTGGCTTATTGATTGACTATTTTAAGAACTGCTTTGATGTAGTAGCTCTCCTGTTAACACTCGAGTTTTGCAAAGGCCCCGATTAGCGGTCCGTTATTTCCACTGGCTGAGCGCTGTAGGAGGGAGAAGACGCCAGAGCTGACCCCAGGACGGCGTGACGGGGCCGGTGGCCTGCAGCGGCCGGCACTGCTCCCTTCG